CAAGAATGATAAATACGTATTTCTTTTCTTTCCCTTTTCTTCCTTCTTAACACTTACTGTTTCTTACAATAATAATTAAAGTGATATTGGCCAATTTTATCTACCAATTTAGCACCATAACCCTCAGGATGATATAATACTTAGTACCCCAATAAACTGAACCTAAGAATATAAATATTTTCTTTAGTGTTTTCCCCCTCAGAAAACTGTAAGGATTGAGTATGTGGCTCAGTGGTGGAACACCGTTCCGGCATGCACAAAGTCCTGAGTTCAATCCCTAGTACAGAAAAAAATTTTTTTAAAAACTCTCTAATTAAAAAAAAACCAACTCTAATAAAATCAAATTAAAAAGAATGCAAGTCTTTTGTTTGTTTCTTTGGTATCTGGGATCAACTCAGGATCTTGCGCTTGCCAGGCAGGCACTACATCACTGAGCATATATATCCCCAGTCCCAAGAACACAATTTTTAATGTCACATTTAGTACAATGATCACTCTTCTCTCCAAATCAATTGTATGACATTTGCTATAATTTACAATAAAATATATCAAACAATCCAAAACCCTGCACTACTGTCATCTTGAAAGATTAGATACTTGAAAATAGTGAAGTCGCTATGGTTCTTTTTCTCATTTATACATCTGTGACAACATTTTCAGAGTAAAAAACAAAACAAAACATCAGTGTTTCTTATTCTTCCCAAATATCCACACAATTAAGCAGAGCAAGAGATGCACAGCACCCGAGAGGAGTATGAAACCACCAAATGACCTATAAGAACACTAACCAGAAACTTATGCCGTGCCTGTTGCTACCTCTCTTTAAATCACTTTTAAACATACTGTAAACCACAAAGTTGTAACTAAAAAGTAACTAAAATTTATACTACTAAAGTAGACTAAGAAAAAAAAATTTTTTAAAAGTAGACTAAGACTTTCTTTACAAAGTCTATTCTCAAATCAGAGATAGCAAGAAAAATTCTAATGAAAATGAATTATCTGTAATTATTTCCATGATAAAATTTTTGTTACACAAAGGATTAAAGTCTGAGCTATTATTTCACATGCTTGGCATAGTGGTAATTTCATTTTTAAAGCTCTATTCAAAAAAATCTTTGCTAAGCAAGTGCTATTACAAAGATACATATTTAGATTTTACCTTATATTAAAGTATACTATAACAAAAATTAATGTATACTATAACTTGGAGAAGTTAATTTCTGAAATGCTATGAAACTTACAAGATGGTAATAAAAACTCTGACCAGAGAAAAATGCATACCTACAAATAAAAATTGTCCATATAATTGTAGGGCTTCTTACAGATAATAAACCCCAACTACAGTACCATGCCTTAATTGTTCTTACAACTACTTCCGAATGTAACTATTGTTCATAGATTAAATGTACACAAAATATCAAGTTAAGAGATCCTTGACTTGTTAAAACAATAAAATCACTATGCATACAATTCAACAGAAACAACATATCACATAATTTTCATGTCTTGTGAATCAAGTATAGCTATAATATTTTACTTCTTGCTTTTAAGTAAATAAAATTAAAAAAACAATTTATATTTAAGTGATCAAAAATTTTAAAAAAGAAATATAATTCACTGAATCTTGTTATGCCAAACATTACCTCTATTCTTTGTAATATGTGGAGATTGGAAATGTTTAAAGTGGTTCAATTTTGCTCAAAGATTTTTATTTATAAGAATGTAGATTTAAATATATGTATATGCGTAATATTTTCCCACATATAAAAAAATAACATTAGTTTACATAAGTGCCTAAGAATATAAGGAGTTACTTTCTAGGGCAATAGTTTGGAGGATAATTTTAAAAAATAAGAATTTATTAGTGAAAATTATTAATTTATTTCAACTACAGTAGACAAGAAGTATTACAAGTAAAGAAATGTCATAATCTTATATAATCTAAAGTAGAAATGTCAAAAACCCTTTTTAGGCCTTGAAAAATATTTGTAAATAAATGATGGAAAATGTTGAAGGGGTAAAGTGATTTTCTAAAAGTAAGGCAGGCTATCTCAGTAATTTTGCATTTTTGTACTCGAAATAAAAAAATTTGTTGGTAAAATAAATAAATAAATGGCAAAAATTTTTGGACTATTACCTTCTGGTGTATGTTTATACAATTTTTTTTTTTTTTTACATCCTTGTGCTACTTATTTATCTGAACCATCTCCACAGTCCCAGTGTCTTTTTTTTTTTTTTTAAATCATAAGGCTTTTGTTTCTGCCTTAAGGTTTCCCCACAGAATTAACAAGTCTTTTCATTTTGTACAGTTTTTGCAGCATGGATCAAACACTGGCTTAATATACTGTGTGAAGAGAAAAAATTGCTTATGCAAGTGAGCTTTAATGAACAAATGTATATTTTCCCAAAGTCTGAGTAGAGTGTGTGTGGCTTTTTTGTTTCTAATTAATATGAAGAAAGTTCGTCCAGTTCTTACAAATATTAGTCTTTTAATGGTATCCATTCTTCTGTTAAGTCATTTACTAAAAAGGAAAAGTATGAAGAAATAAGTCATTCTAGCACTTTCAGAATAATTTGAGCTTAGATGACTGTTATTGGAATACTTCTGAAATATTCGTCATAGAGTACTTAAAAGTACATTTAATATGCTACACTGATCTATTTCTAATGGTTTTAGACAGTGATTGATTTCATCATAAATAGGGACCATAAGTGTTGTTTTTGTTTTGTTTGTTTTTTTGCCTGGCTCAGGATGCCTTCAGGGCAGGTCTGGTATGGCTTGAGCATCTGGGGATCGAACCACAGTAACCTGGGACTGACTGCTCTGTTTAAGCAGTCACTTAAATAACTGAGCTAATGAGCAGGCCCTCTAGGTTAGGGTCCTCTAGAAGAGTAAATAGATTCTTAGCTAAGTAAGTTTTAAAATTAATTTCATCCTACATTTAAACTGTGATGCTCAATTAGGGCCATTGGAAGACCCTATAAACAATTTAATACTTACTGAAAAGCTTAAACAAATACTACAAGTATTAATGGAAAATTTTAAATGACCTCAAAATCTAATGTTTCCTTTTTGTTTGTTTTGTTTTGTTTTTGCTTTGTTTTTTGGTGGAACTGGGGATTAAACTCAGGCCCTTGTGCTTGCCAGGGAAGTACTTATTCTACCGAGCCATCTCCCCAGCCCCTAATGTTTCCTTTTTATTTCCTCATTATTTAAAAAGAATTTGGATTGGGAAGACTGAGGGTATAGTTCAGTGGCAGTGTATACATATATTTAAAACCTAGCTTTTATACTGGTACTGTCCTTTTAATGGAAAGCCTGAAACAGTTTAATCAAATATCTGAAAAAAAAATTTACTTCTGATACAACGTACTTAAGAAAACCAATGGTCTGTGATTAATGTTTATGTCACATTAATTTAGATGCTTTATAAACAAATATTTAATGGTAAATTATAAGACTACTCAGAAGACTAGACAATGCCTCTTTAAGAAATTTCAGGTATACAGTTGATGTGTAGCTTCTGCTGCTGTACACAAGGTGAACATACTTTCAGGGGATGACTATCTTAGTAGTGTACAACTCAGGACTTTAGGTCACCAAGGATATTTAATTCTAACACTGTTCTCTAAGGAACACAGGAAAATTTACAAGTTTAAATGAAGCTGAAAAGAATAATGATAGAAGAAATGGTAAGGGGACAAATAGTAAGAGGTGGGTTAGAAAAGAGAAGACAGAGTAGGGACAAGATAGAATGGAAAGGAAAGGAGACACTGATGAAATTCTTGGCAATAAAGGTTGTGTTATTCAAGTGCTAAGTTACCTATGATATTTTATATGTTACAGTTTCCTGGTGGTCTAGTGGCTAGGATTTATATGATAATCCAGATGCTCTATCCCATAATGATTTTTATTTTTATCTTGACTCATTCTTCTTGATTTGGCATCAGTACCAAAACCTTACTAGATTTAAATCCCTGGAAGCAGGGACAATTCTAGGGTGATCTAGATAAACCTTTTGGTTTTGTTGTAGTGTGTGCATATTTCATTTTACTTCTGTTTCTGGAATGTCCAAGACCAAGTGGTAATTTTCCAGTACAGGTTCTAGAAACATAATTTATCGATGCAACTCAAATATTTTACAGAGTAACTACTTAATGCCTGTTATGAATTCCATGATTATGCCTACCTTATTTTTCCAAACAAGACAGAAGTGGAGATGGGTGGTGTTAATTTTATGATATTTTAACAGTTCTATATTAATATTAAGGTCTGTTACAGATTAAATACAAATTTTGCCTAAATTATTAAGATAAAGACTTTAAGAACACCTTAGGTCTCTCAAACAGTTGCCATGAACTGTGCCTTAAAACCTTGAGTGTTAACTTGCCTTTGTACACATTTTTCTGCCATCATAGTATAATTGGAAGAAAATGACTGAAAAATATTCTTCCCTACTATTGTGATACCTGAGGTAATATATTTCTTTCCTACTATTGTTTATAATATTTCGCCTGATTTAAATTACTACTATAACACTTATAATCAAAATTCTGAATGGTACTACATCTAAACATGTATTTAGAATGTCATTTTAGAAATCAAGAAAAAAAAAAAAAAGAGGAGGGCTTTGAGTCATATATATCCATCAATATTCCCTCTATTTCTAATGCCTTTACAAAATGTTTGAGTGACATAGCACTTCTGACTTTAAATAATAAGGAAATACCAAGCTACAAACCAGTATTTCTTCTGAACAACCGTTTTATCCTTTCAATTTATTTTAAGTTTTTAAAAGACCTTATATATAACCTCATTCACACTTTAATTTTGCTTTGAAATTCTTAACTACATATTTGACCTATTGTACCCAAAATTAAAACATAAAAGTCAATATGCTCAAAAGTGAATCATTCAAGTACACAATCTTTGTTCTGATAAATAATGGTGCTGACAAATTTGTTATCTGGAACTCACTGGAAGTAGTTACTCAACTTACCTGGTGCTAATCCAGCAGTAGCAGGGCTTCCCATGGATGGGTGAGAGAAAACTTGAGAGAAGGCAGACATATTTGACTGGGACACGTTACTCAGCCTGGAGGTTGATCCTCCTTTAGGAATAAACTCGCTTGCAGTAGGATTTGGTGTCTATTTAAAAATCAAATATAGTAAGTTAACACACTTTAGGCCCCCAAAAGACATGGTTACCAGTCTTACTAGTCTTTACTAGTCTTAAAAGTACTAGTTGTTACTCCACTATGCTTTATTTACAGAGTAAAAACTTAATGAAAATTTGACAAGTCTTTTAGTTTCTATTCTTTGGCATAGTATGTTGAATTTCTCAAGAAATTTGATCAAATCTGATCATTTTAATCTTTCATTTGCAGAATTCTTAATGTGTAAAATCTGCCTTTAGTTTTCAAGCATGCGACATTACTAAACCAACTTAACACATTTTTGAGAACTGGGAGGTGGAAACTACCTCAAAACTGAGCAACAAGTTTCAGATGTTACAGATTTAAACAACTTCTACCAAGATAAAAGTTGAAATAACCTGTTGTTCAATATGCATCACTTTCTTGTTCTGTGAAAGCAAAAGTTTCCCTAATATGATGCCATGATAGATAAAACACTTAAAGCAAGGCAAATATCTGGGAGGAATCAAGGTAAGGAAAAAGAAGTTTTATAAAAGAGCCACTGGAAGCTTAAGCAGCATTACATGTGACCTGTTCTTTAAATATTTTAGTACAGAAAACAATTTTCACAGTGATAGTATGATACAACCTATTTTATACTTAAGTGGTATTGTATTTCTCTAGCTTTAAAACTACAAGACCATTCATTATGAGAACATATATCAAATTCATAGTCTGTTTTTGTCCATGTGAATTTCCATAGGAAGCAGAAAATTTTAAAATGGACTAACTCCTACACAATCAACAACAACCTCCTTATCTGAGATTGTCTCCTTGTCTAAGAACAACATTTTTAAATTGCCACATCAAACAGAGTTCAAAACACTAGATTTTGAAGCTTAACAAGTCAATAGGTTAATCTACTTGTAAACTCTAAAGTAAATAATACTATCAGTTATGAGCCAGCTAAACTATTTTTACCAAGATAAGCAGTGGTAAAATATAAAAGAAATACTTAATGTGAGTTTGATTAAAATACTCTGAAAAGTGGGGGACATAGCTCGGCGATGCAACGCCTGCTTGGCAGGCATAAGATCCTGAGTTCACTTCCCAGTACCAAAACTTAAAACCTGAAAATACAGGATGAAGCTCTTTTAGTGCTACATCTAAGACATGAAATTCCAAAATGGAAAAGTCAAACTTGAACCAAAATATTCTTTTGAAAGGGAAAAAAAAATTTTTTTATCACCTAAGTGTATTTATGAAACATCTTTCCAATTCTAAAGCTTTTAAAAATAATGGCATGTTAAGTGAATATCTAATTAAATTCTGGTATAGAACTCAAGCCACTGCATTTTACTGGTGTAGCACTTCTACTATAAAGGAACAACTGGCATGACAAGTAAATCAGAGCTAGTTATGTACCCTGTTAACTCTAAATCTGTCTTATAAAAACCATTTGTTATCTTGGTAAGGTTCCAAAAAAATGCCTAAGGGAAATGGGGTTTCAAGGTTATGAAATCATTAGGAAAAACAAAACTACATAGGGAAATCATATACATGTATGATCCTTTTAGTATATTCCTGAGAAATATATACTGCCTTTTCAAAAACATCTTACAGTTACAGAGAACCACATATGATCCGATTTCCAGGTTGAGTTTCCCAAATTCCTTTGAAAGTCTCTTTTTGGAGGGTTGAACCTAGAGCAGCAGTTGGGAATCTATGGCATGCATGTGCTTTCTCTTTTAATACAAAAGGTGTTAATGTATGAGCTGCTTTTTCGAAACGAAAATTTTAGCAGTCAAGTTCAACTGCAGTGTTGGCACTTTGCAGTAAGTGTGTTTTGGGCTACAGTTTGGGACTTGTGTCTAAAAGGTTTACTATCACCAATCTAGGCCCTTCACATTGAGCTCTGTCTCCAATTTTTTTTATTTTTATTTTTTATTTTGAGACAGTCTCACTAAATTGACCAGGCTGGGAGCAGACTTGTGATCCTCTTGCCTCAGCTTCCTAAAGTGCTGAAATTGCAGAAATAAACTATTGACTGAAATAATCCCTTTCAGATCTGGGAATATAGAGCAGTGGATATTGGGTTCCATCCCCAGCACCACTAAATGAATCCATCCATCCATCTTAACTACCTACTATGTTTATCTCTATGAGATCAAATTTTTTATTTTTGTGAACTGCATGAACATTAATGCCTATTCATAATTTAAACTCTTAATTTACATTCCTATCTTAATTAGTGCTAAATACATTTTTGTTTTGTTTTCTTTCGAGACAGGGTCTTGCTATGCAGTTCTGGCTGACCTAGTTAGTGCTCCCTTTTGTAGCCTCCAGGGTGGTCTCAAACTCACAGTAATCCTCCTGTTTCAACCTTCCCAGTGCTGAAATTAAAGGCACGTGCCACCATGCCCAATTCCTGGGCCAGCACTGCGTGTCCTGGTTTCTGGGATTGAAACTGGGACCTTGTGTTTACCAGGTGATTAAACTCGGGAACTTGCACTTGGCAGGTAAGTCCTTATATCTCTGAGCTATCTCCCCAGCCCCCTAAATGCACATTAAAAAAATAAATAAATAAAAAGCATTTATTCAAAACAGATACTCATTCTGTGAGGATTTGTCAATAAATTCAACTTTAAATTTCTATACACTTAAATTTACCCTGTAATTTATGTGCAAAAAAACTACCAAGTGCTTCTTATGTAGTGTTCTCCAAAATAATACTATTTCAAAACATTTGGATATGATCTGTGCCTGTAATCTCTAGACATAAACATAATAAATCAAGACTTCTGACCTTTTGCTTAAAAGTATTGTCATTATAAATTTTTATATTGTAAATGAGAACATACTATTCCAGACACCTCACCAACTGAACTGATAGATGTCTATATACAAATGACCAACATTTTTTAGTAATGGAATAACTTTTCAATGAGGTTTTAATCTTAGATATAATTTTATGGTTTTGTTATAGTATTCCACATAAACTTGTATGTTTTGTTTTTTTTTTTCAGTTAAATTCAGTGTTTAACATTTTGGAGACTTCAATAAAAATATGTATAAATTAAGGGATTAATAAACATTGTAATAAAAAGTATAGACATTAATACTTTTAATTAGGTACAAAGACAGGAAAGGGTTCATACTGAATAGATTTAGAACATAAGCTAATTATGTAGTATTTTGTTGCAAAAAATATGAAAAATAGTCTCAGTGATGGAATGAATAAAAAACATACTAATACCCCTATAAATTATTCAGTGTTTTATTAATCACATGAAAGCACAAAATACTTTGCATGGTACAGCTTGTTCTAATAAGATGCAATTTGCTTTATCCTAACCCTAACCTTTAATACCTTCATAAACTGACATCAACTTGTGATTTTTTTTCTTAGCAGATTTAGATATATCTAACACACCATAAACTGTACTCTTTAACACGTAAACAAGCATAAGTCAACCATCTAAAGCCATTCAATATGTCCATCATGCTAAGTCATCACAGGCTTCTTTCCTTTTTTATCATAATGCCTACCTCACTACTGTGCTGTCTCCAGGAAACCACTGATCAGCTGCCATTATAGATTGGTCTGCACTTTTTAGAATTCTACGTAAACAAACCATATATATGTACTTTTGCTTGGCTGCTTTCACTTGGCATCAAGATTCATCTATGTTATTACCTCTACCAATATTTCACTTGTTTTTAACTACTGATCAGTATTCAGCATCAATATACAGCAGCACATTTTATCCTGCTTAGATTTTTTTTCAGTGTGTGCATGTGTGTGTGTGTGTACGCACACACGTGTGTGTGTTCGTGTTCCATTTCTCTTTATTAAATATCTAGCGGTGAGTGGCTTGGACACTTGGTATGGATTATATATAATTTTTAAAAGAAACTGGTAAACTCTTTCCAAAGTAGTCATAGTTTTAGCAAGTCCATCAATACTGAATAAAAGATGAAGTACTCAGAACTTCAGTGTCTTTCTCATTTCAGATATTCTAATAGGTGTGTAGTAGTATCTTACTGTGGCATAAATTTGCATTTCTCCAATGACTTTTTGCCAATCTGTATTTTCTTTGAGGAAAGGTCTATTCATATATTTTGAACACTTTTTATTGAGTGTCATAGTGATATTTTTTCTGTCGTAGAATATTGAGAGTTCTTTATTTTGGATAGAAGATCTGTGTTCACATATTTTCTTTCAGGCTATATTTGTCCTTCCATTCTTTTTCAGGGACACTAAGTTTTTTCTTATGGGTCTATTGACCATGGTTTTTTTGTGTTGTATTTAAAAGATACTTACCTAAAAAAAAAATAAAAATAAAAATATAAAAGATACTTACCTAACCAAAGTCATAGATATATTCATTTATGTTTCTAAATTTTATGCGTTTATGATTTACATTAAGCCTACAATGCACTTTGATTTCATTTTTGTACACAGTATGAAGTACAGATATAAACTTGCTTATAAATATAAAGATCCAATAATTCTTGTGCTATTTGTGAAAAGGATCACAATACATATAGATTCCCCACTGAATAGATTTTGCTCCTTTATTAAAATCAAATTATACTACTGAGTTAGTTTCTCGGTGTTCTAATCGGATCCACTGATTTCTCAACATTGATGCCAATACCACATTGACCTGATTGTTGTAGTCTTACTGTAAGTCAAGTAGAATACATTACATCTTTTAAGTTGGGCTGGTAAACACATCCTTTGCATTCATACATAAATGTAACAATAAGTTTATTAATTTCTGTGCAGTTGCCTGTCAGGTTCTTAAGTGGAACTGCACTGGCTCTCTATGTCAATTTGGGAAAGCAGCTATCTTCAATTAAATTTCTATTTGTTTGGGTCTTTAATTTCTCTCAGGAATGTTTCATAGTTGTAAATATACAGAACTGCAAATGTACCTTTTGTCAGGCTAATTCTAAGGATTTTATATGTTTGATATTACTATAAATGGTGTAACTTTAAATTTTCAA